TGTGTGTCAGGGACCTTTTTCCCTTTGGTCATGACAGAGAGCATTCTGAGAGATTCGACAGTCATTCACCCTCCTTTGTTCAAAGCTGTTGGAAGGGACACTAAGGAGGAGTAGGAGGACAATGAGGAGTAGTATGTGATGCGACTGTGTAGCTGTATTTACTCAGGTGTGTTACCTTGAGCCATAATTTCTCTATAAGTTGCCCTGATAGTAAATATGTAAATATTACTGTAGGTATGTTTGTGTTGTTTGGTTCCCTGGACGCTGCATCTGTTACTTTCCACCATACATCCTCTCAATGTCGTCTTGGTAGTGAGTTTTCAGCTCCTTGCGTTTCAGTTTGAAGGCGTCAGTGACCAGACCAGTCTCTGGGGTCCAGGGCTCAGAACTGAGACGGATCTTTTTTGGGATCTCGAACCGTTCCAGTTTCGCTGGTTGGAGCAGAAATAACGATTTTAGAGTCAGCACGAGAGACGCAGTGAGATATTCTATCTGGGAAGAGACTTTTTTGTTTTTATTTTCAACCAACCTGAGACAGCAGCTTCGGTAATGATGTGAAGAACTTCCTTCTCCATCTGGGGGTTGTTGCAGATTTCCTCCCACGTGCCGTATACACTCATCTGTTCTGCCAGCGCCATCAGCTGCTTGTGGTTAGGTACCACAAAGCTGATCACGTACGACTGGTCACTGGAAATTTAATTCATTTTGATCATGATTTATGTTAATTATCATCAATAAACACATTAATGTTCGTGAATTGCCGAGAAAACTTTGTCTATGTACAGCTGGAAAGGAATTACACTAATTAATTAATGTGATCAACACATAATTTTGACAGCCCTAGTTTGAACAGTTACCTGTTAGCATATGCACAGATGTTGTCAATGTAAGGACAGTTCTTTAGAGCAGCCTCCACTTTTCCTAAAGACACGTACTCTCCTGCCTGTAATTTCACCAGGTCCTTCTTACGATCTGTAGACGTAGGACAGGGAGAACATTCAGGTCTCACAATCAGTCTCACAAAAAATGAACAATCACCAACTCCAGTAATCTTACCAATGATCCTGAGGCACCCGTCGGGATCAAACTGTCCGATGTCTCCGGTGCAGAACCATCGCTGTCCGTTCTCGTCAACAAAAAAGTCCTCACGGTTTTTCGCTTCGTTTTTGTAGTAACCCATGGACACGTTGGGCCCACCAACCAGAATCTCTCCACGTGGGTTGGGCTTGTCCGTGCTGTGGTAGCCGCCTTCAGAGGGACACAAACGTGGTTAGAGAGGAACTCTCAGCACCTTCACCGCGTCTTTGTGTAGACAGATACAGCATGTCCTACCTTCTTCCCAGTCCTTCAATGTGATCTCTGAACAAACAAGTGGAGCACCGACACGTCCAGTACTGTAGTCACATGCTGAAAAAAGAAAAAACCAAGAATTGTTCCTGTGTTAATGATGTGAAAAAAACTGATTTACTTCAAAGTCTGAACTGTTTTCATCACTTCCTCACCACTACTGATGGCTCCGGCTCCACAGGTCTCTGTCAGGCCGTAGCCCTGCCCCACTGGGCAGCACATGCAGATGTTCATGAAGCGCTGTGTGGCAGCAGAGAGAGGAGCTCCGCCAGAAAGGAGCACCCGTGTATTTCCTCCCAAGAGAGCGCGCACACGTTTGAAGACCAGGCTGCAGAGGTGTAGAGGACAGGATGACAAAAAAATTACACAGATCATACGGACGGTGACTGAGTTTTCAGAGGCTCCAAAATCAACACGTTGAGTGAAAATGCATATTTCATGCCCAGATATTGACTTTCTCTGTGAACAAACAGATCAAGAGTATTATCCTGCAGTAAATCACATGTGATAAATTAGAATTCCTCCTGCCAGTTTTTTTGGGAGGAGCTTCTTATTAACAAGGACTTCATAATGAATTTGTCATGAAGCTGAGCAGGGGTAAATGTTTGCCCATGTATCGGTGGAAAGTAAATATGAGAAGGCTTTTCTGAGGACATGACAGTGTGGTGATAGTACAGTACAGTGGTGCTATCCAAGAGGCTTCAAACACGTGTGTTGTTTCCCATTGGTTTCGTTTTGACAGTTTGGAAGTTAATTGTTTTATTTCCCATTTTGTTTTTTCTCCATCTTTCCTTCGTATAAACATATATTAAATACTATATTTCATTTTTTTCAGAGATACTACATTTCCATTGTTTTCATCACATTTCTATCCAATGTCAGTTACCTGTCACAAAGTGGAGTGCTATAGCCCTTGGAGATTTGCTCCATCTTATAGTTATAAGCCAACACGAAGAGAGTCTTCTGGAACTTGCTCATCATCTCCACTTTGGTCATTACGTTCTTGTAAATGCGATCCATAATCTCCTACGTGGACGAAACGGGGAAAACAGCAGTTCAGACTTTAGCAGCAGGAAAATGCATGTGTGTGTGTGTGTGTGTTTGTACATGATGAGAACACTTACTGGTACAGCGGCCATGAGAGTAGGCTGCAGCACACTGGCATCACCTTTGCTGCCTTTCTTTATTTTGGTGGACTGTGAAAACAAATTCAGATGATTGGTCAGCCATTCACCCACTGACCACATGAAGTTCCAGCAGCTCACCTGAGTTTATTGTGACATTAACAAGGCACATCATCATCATAAGCCTACAATAAAAATAAAATAAGAGATGATGTCGACTCACCTGGTCAGACAGAGTATGAGGTGAGGAGTAACCAATGCGACAGCCGTGAGAGATGCACACCAGCTCAGCGCTGAGCTCCAAAACATGGGCCAATGGCAGGTAGCCGATGTAGGTGTCGGTCTCACTGTTCGGGCGTTCACATTAAAAGCATGTTAAAAATTTGTTTTATCAAACAATGATGTGGATGTGATTGGAAATAGATTTGACAGAGGAAAAGGTAAACGAATAGAGGAAGTGCGAAAGACGTAATATGAGATTTGATATTGTCATACTTGAGGTTAGGGATTCTCTCGGCCATGCCGGTGACGCCAGCAATAATGTTGCCATGGGAGATCATGACACCTTTGGGAATTCCTGTTGATCCACTGGTGTACATGATGACGGCGATGTCCGAGGGCCGCGGATGTTTACGCTCAACTAAGACTGAAGAGAGACACAAGAAAAACAGAAATGGAGAATACATAAAACACATACTTTTAACTTCTTTTTTTCTAAAGTATTATTTAGTCTGAAAATACAACTTACAACTACAATGTTAACTAGGTAACTAACTAACCTAGCTTTTGAGATTGCTTTGACTGCTGTTGTTTCAAATATGTGTTTTCTAATTTCTTGGTGTATTTTAATGCACTGATTTTTAATATGACACTTTGTCTGCATTCTAGATCTTTGCTTAACCTAAAATGCTTCTTTTGTATGGAAAACAAGTTTAAGATAATTTGAAAAGGAACAAAAACTAATTTCAATTTCACATAATTTCCATAAAAAGGTTGTAATCTATGAAAAGGCTTTTGACCCTAATCCTAGTCTGTTTTAGGAATCAGGACAATCTAATCAGAGTGATTCTATTGTATAACCATCCATCACATTACTTTAATTTTCCCCAGACAAAATTATAAACCTTTTCTTTCTCCATCAGATTACTCATATACTCACTGTTACTAGGTTTGGATCCCATCTCTCTCACGGTGTCCATGTTGTAGACCAGAATGCCTCTGGGCATGTCTGGCCAGCTCGTGGGTTTACTGTCCACTACGATGATAAATCGCAGCCTGGGCACATCACACAGAATGGCCTGAAGCATAGTGTGGCCGCATCAAAGAGGGGGAAGAAACAGAGAAACGTGAGCGGAGCTGCTCGGAGATACTATTGTTGAGTAAAGAACGAATGTCACATGATGATACCTTCAGTCTAGTGTTGAGCAGATCCTTGCTTGTAATGATGTGTGTGACCTCGGTCTCGTTCAGGCCGTGTGCGATAGCCATAGGTCCCAGTGTGGAGTACAGGGTCACAACTGTTAAAGGAGGAACCACGTACATTTAGGAACAGGCTTTAAAGAAACGCTGTTTGGCAGAATAAACATTAAATGTCATTGTGTGACTCACCGGGAAAGTTGTACATAAAGCAGGCCTGTGCTGCTATGACCCACTCCGCTCTGGTCTCACAGAAGATGGCGATGTTACACTGAGGCTTCTGGCCCAGACTTGCGAGGCCACTGCCGAAGCTTTTTGCTGCCTTGTAGGTTTTTTCATATGACAGCCAGTTGTAGTTTCCCAGAATCACCTGAAACGAATGTACAAGCAAGCCCAATAAACAGCAATGTAACACCATATAATTACGACTGGCTTTAGAGTTTATTTTGACCTGAAAAGGATTGAGCTGTAAAAGATGGATGCATGAACTGACTGATAAAAGCATGGGGTTGACGCCATGGCTGACTCATATGCAGTTGTCTAGCACCACCTACAGGTGTTTTGCAGCCAAGCAGGGATCATGAGGTGGTTTATGGGCATGTTATGTTATACCACTTGGCAAACTGTGTAGTAAATTAATTTGATTTTTGTTTTTGAATGTTTTGTATTGAAAACTTCATTCATTCAATCAACCATGAAGTGAAATTAAGTAAGCTATAGTATGTAAGACAAGCTTAAGTACGTAAGACAAAACGGTTTCTCACCTTCTTGAAGACCTTCCCATTAGGCTGAAGCTCGTCCTCCTCACTGAGCAGCTCCCTGGTACCCAGACAGTCTCTCTGTGGAAACTTCTGTGCCGCATGTTCAAACATTTTGTCTAGCGTGTCCACCCCAGGGTGCAGCCACGCTACCAACTTCTCTAAACTGTTCACGGCCCTGTAAGGTCCTGCGGGTTGATTGCTAATGGAGCGAGCCTTGATCCGGCGAGCCTGTTCCAAATTGCTGCCAGTACCAGAGAGGAAGTACCAGGGTATGAAGGTGATGACAGAGTAGACCCAGACAACAGAGCGAAAAACCTGCAGCAGCAGGGGGTTAATGTCCTCTTTCAACTTCATCTTTAAGGATGACGTCCGCCCTTGAAATTAATTAAACAGAGTTGAACACAGGACTTTGGTGGGCAGGCAGCACGTCGACCAGACCTGGAGAAAAGACACAAAATGAAATTTTAGTACATAGTTCATGTTTTAAATACTCTGCTATTAAGAATATTTTTTTTAAACCTAACCCAATAAACAAACCTCCCTAAACTAATATACACATTTTATGAAAGAAAAATAAACTTGTTAGAAGTAGCAGCAGTGACTCACTCTGCAGCTCAGTTGGAAAAATAGTTGCAAAGAAATCACACGGGAGCCTGGTATGAAACAGCCAACCTGCTGAAGTCACAGTGTAGAGAAGAATCTAACACTGAGGTGGGCTGTTCCAAGTGAGCAGCATTTACCTAGCATGTTATTACAGCCCATAGTAGCTGTTTCTATCAACTCAAGAGGATTGCAAAAATGCCATTCATCTCACAGAAATATTAAGTTAATATGACCCACTGCTGCTACTGTTTACATATGTTTAACTGTGCTTCTAGAGTTTCACCTGCACTGCAGCAAGCCTCTGTGATCCAGTGATGACTGTTAGAATATAGGATTACACCATGGGTGTCAATTTGCCTTAACACAATAACAGGTGATCACATCTTTTTGAATGAGTGAATAAGAATGTGTAAATATTTTGCAAACTTCCCCATATGGCACTGTAATAAATATCATTTCTTAGCCCACAACAAAAATGTCTTCGTAATAGAATGTGTACTCTGAAGTACACATTGGTTATTGTTTTTTGTCAATGAGGAACCTGTCTGCAGCAGATCACATGCCACAACTATATTAAACAATGTGGTTTCATTTGGGTAGAAACAATCAACCATTAAAGTCACAGAAGTATTCACACTGGTAATTCTGGTTCAGTCATGGCTTCCTTGCCCATGAGGCTGAGTTTGACACACCCGTTCCTGGTCCAACAAAAAATGTCAAGCAAATGACAGATGACCTAAAAATAAACATGACCAAAACAAAACAAAAAAAAAAAGACTAATTCATTTGTACCTAGTCGAAAGGGATTTATTGTTTTACTTTTTGTAAAGACACGAAATGTCACAAGCTAAGATCAAATTATATAAATGGTAAATGATTACTGTTATTTGGTGCTAACATGGACATTTCCTCCAGTGCAGAAGCTTCTAAAAATCATTGCTAACTGTAGTTTACGTAGCTGAATTAGAGTTTTGTTTGTACATAATAATGCCTACTAGTTTGTACAGTGTACACAGACCTCCAACTGACATCCATCCATTATACCTGTGAGGAACAATCAGGCATCTATAAATATAAGAGCACTATAAACATAACAGCATAAAAGAGAAACTATCTATTATATGATAAAAGATAACGAACATGATGATTTTGTCCTTATATATTGTAAAGGATCATAGACATTATGAACAACTAAATTCAGTTAAAAACATTTCCATAATATTTTATTAAAATGTAAGTTAAATATGTGAGTTAAATTCAGCTTAATAAAGTAGCGCAGGACTCATTTGTTTGAGAAACTATCACATGACCACGATTTAATATCTAATTTTAAGCTATTATTTCGTAGTTTATCTTAACTATATTAACTATAAAAAATATAATATCTCATTCTTATCAGTATCTTAATTTTTAGTATCTCGTCCATGCAAGCTAGTATTATTGTGGAATAGTAGTTTATTTTTAGATAAAATGAATGTTGAAGTGGAATTTCTCATACCATAAAAGTAAAAACAGCAAACTGCATACTGCAAAAAGAAGCTTAAAAGAGTGAAACAGGAATTAGCTGAAATGTAGTTAAGAATGACCACAAAATCCATTCAGGAATTATTGGAAATATTGTGGAATTTATAGAAAACTTTATTATATTTTCTGTAGAACAATGCTTTCTAAAAGGGACAGAAGAGACTAAGTAAGACTTCTACATATAGACTTCCCTTTGTTTGTCATAGTTTTTCCTGTCCTATTTTTTTTCTCTCTTTCAATTGATAATTATTTTTAAAAATCTGAAGTTACCATGTGCATCAAAAGGGCACAGATCCTTATTGTCTAACTCAATTCTGCTCATTCAGTTTTTTTTAACAATATGCTCATTAGTCCTACTGTTGAAAATCAATACAGCCTGGTCCCATGACTGTAAGTGGTGGTAAAAATATCCCATTAGGTATTTAGGTTGTTGTTTCCCTTGTTAGTACACAAGAAGATGTTAGTTCTAATGGAAATTCCCATGACTAAAAATGAAGCTGTGATGATTATTTATTCACTATATTTAGTGGTGTTATGAGAAATATCATTGAATGTAGCAAGGGTGTGGTTTGGCATCAAATTATGTAGGAATTAGCAACATCTTAATTTTTTGTTTCATAATTCAGCTGTAAGGCATTTTATGCAGGGACAAAATCATTCTTTCTTTTTAAAGTTATCCAGATAATGCTAACAGGAAACTCGTACAAGTGGAAGAAATCCGATAGGGAGCACTAATACTGTACAACTCAAAGGATGCTGAACTGGCTTTGCTTCAGTATTGCAAGTAACACATCTCCAACATACTCTTTTCGGGATGCAGAATGTGTTGTTATTTTATTACAATATTTTATGTGAATTGAATTTCAGATTTCTATTTCTCCTGTCTTTGACTGATCTGCTCAGAGATGTCTATTCTGAGGTTAATGTATTGCATGTAGATGACAAACACTCATCATGAGCACCAGCAGGCGAGAGAAGACTTTTTATAATGACATATGTCTTTAATTTTTATCGATACACAATGTGGGCTTTAAAAGGCCCTACATTCTTATGTAAAAAACATTTATGCACAATTTTTGCAGACTCAACCATGAAAAAATCAGGACAATTATTCGATTTTTTTCATTCTCTGTGTAACAACAATTTAATCATTTTGCTTTGCCACATTCAAATTAATGAAATAATATGCATGTGACTTGACCTCACCTCTACACCAGAGGGAGCCAGCGTTCACTTTCCTTAACACAAAAAAAGCATGTATGCATAGTGCTTCTCAGGGAGTGTTCAAGACCAAGTAGAGACCTCTTTGTGATAAAGGGGAAATGGCTAGGTAAGCTGTGTTTGGCCCTTTGACCCTGGTCACTGATCTTTTGCAGTGGCCTATGGAGTTCTTGCATGCTTGTTAGACCATATGTCTGTACAGACGATTTTCTGACAAATGCACACACACATATGCACAAATCGATGACTATTTTCTTCACGCCTGGTGCACACATACACATAAGCATGTCATCACATGACAGGACAGATGATAATGGCTGTCCTCTGGCCAAGTCTTTGAGGTCATCTTCGTGGAACCTAAACTATCAGGGGGCAGATGTTACCAGCAACAGGAACACTTTCATCTCCTCTGTGAAATACGTGTGTCCAATCTGATAATGGCTCAGAGACACACTTGGCACACACTTAAAGGCAGGACTCAGGAAGAAGAAAAGTGTCCTGGAACTGTTGTCTGTTCCTGGATGACCCTGACTTTTTTGACAGTGTCCACCACAGCTAATGGCTGCTCCCTTGGGATCCACCAATGTCATCTGCTGAATTGAGGCTTTGCACAGTCATTGGTTGAATGTCTTGTATTTAAAAAATAGTATTTAATAATTATTAATAATATTTTTAACAGACCGGTATTACTTTTTTATTTTGGTCTTCAAAACATTGAAACATAGGTTTACAAACTAGTAAAGTAAAGTCTTTGATGGATGATCCTTTATATCCCAACCTGCTAACCTGCTAACTGAGGGACTCATACATGTTGTATGATCTTTTCAGTCTCACGTAAAGCTAGCTGGTATGAATTTCAAAATGGTCCTTTTTTATATTTTCCTCATGCACGTATGAAAGTCTAAGTAAACTAAAATGAAGTAATGTCTTAGTTTTTACTTGGGTAATTCAGTGTCAGGTATTTCCCTTTCAACAAGACCAACACGGTCAAATTCTGGGCAATTGCTTTTTCAAAAAACTGTTATTATAGTCTTTGAAAGTAAAACAGGTAAACTAATAACTTTGGAGCCTCTGGCTGATTATGAAGCCTGTTGACGTCCAGTTGGACTTGCAGGGTGCAAGGGGGAGGGGGTGTGGGGTTGTGTGGGGATTAGGGAACAAAAGGATCCTTCTCTGTCATCAAAGAGGATCTGCTCCTAACTCATCTCCTGCTCTGTGGCGACAGCTCTTTATTTTTTGGGGAGTGATGGCTGCAGGGAGGAGGGAGGGGATATAGTGGGGAGAGTTTGACGGTAAGGGATGCAGATTTCAAAGTAATCTTTAACTTTAAGCCCTGCAGTCAGTGTGAAATGAAGCCCCTCTGCCCCAGACACAGTGTTGCCTATGGCTCCCAGTGGAGCCTGCTACCCCTCCTTTTTTTCCCAAAAGCTTTTGTCACGGTGGCATTTTAGTGGCATTACTCAACAACTGGATGACCGAATGAAGGAGTCCCTTTGACAGACCTGAAAGAGACGGATTTTAACTCCTGAGACCAGTGTCGCCTCTTAAAACAACACAGTACAGAGAAAAGCTTGCTGTGTTTTGGGGGTCTGGAAAATTCCAAATAGAACAATAACTGAGAATGATACCTATATCTGCTAATAATTCATCCAGAGACATCCCCTAGGTCAGTGTTTCCCAAACCTTTTTTTTCTGCGGACCCATAATTTAAACTTCACAAACCTTCACAACCCAAGTCAATAGACATTATTCATAAACTCCTGGGAAACATGATGCGAGACAACCCAAAAACAAAAGAAATCTCTTGCGACCCACCTGCGGGTTGTGACCCAGTCTTTGGGAAACAATGCCCGTAGTGATAGTGAGAGAACCACCAGTCTAAAATTTGGATTTAATTTAAATATTTTCTGCTAATATTTTTCTATTTTCTTTTTCATTCATACAGCGTAAAAAAGCTAAAATTATAACAAAAATAAACGTACTTTCTCCATATATTGTACTGTGTAAAAAGAAATGTCTATTTACATTAACGTAGCAAAGTATCAGGTATTCCTATATTTCACATTCATTGTAATTCAACACCGCTGAGATTAGTGTGGGCACAACCCATCGTTAGAGGTTTTTATATCTTCTTACATATTATATGACTTGGAAAAGCAAACCTAAGCCCATCAGATGGTTTAAGACCCTAGGAGGTCACCTGCACTTCTATTGTCTGACTCCTATAAAACACTACTTATTTTGGCCCCCTGCCCCAAAGTTATTTCTCTCATCTTGTCCCCTCGGGGTCCTTGGCCAGGGGTCCCCTGCTGACCCGCTGCACTGCAGGGATCCAGTGTAATAACAGAAAGGTGGGTATTGGGTAAAAAGGTTTTGTCATTGACTCAATAGGCCATTTTTTAGAGCTAGTAAAACAAGGAGATTATAATAAATCAATCACATATCAACAGCACGGCACATCTGACAACCACACCTGCTCAATGACGTGTTATTTTTAAAAGCTCAAAATCAAATTCACTTGAAAATCGGCCTAAAACAATTTATTACACTACAACCATATAAAGTCTGAAGCACTCTTACTGTATATGTGTATACATGTATATATATGTTTATACACAGTACATTAATGAAATAGTAGTCACCCCAAAGTCACAGAAAGTACATGTTAATGTGTTTTCCATAATGCAACACTATAGTCTCTTTATATAGTTAAATTATTGTTTTTGCTATTGCAAACACATTGACCAGTGTGTACTTAACAGTGGAAAATATTCCCAGTAGGTGGCAGTCATTCAATTCATGATCTATCTGGATCTCTCTCTCTCCAGTGTGGATTAAAGTTATAATTCCTTCAATTTTGACGTTCGTGTGTCATGTGAGGTAAAAATAAAGTTTTGTCCCATGTGTGCTCACCACTCTACATACCTAAGCAGAGATTAGTCAGATGTATCTTTCCTGTGTGCCATCCTCAATATATTACTGTAAAACAAACGAAAAACAAATAAAAACAACATTTTGCTTAAGTTACAGATTTAGATTTATATAAATTATCTACGTTGAGATTTAAACATCCTGTGAAGTTATAAACAATAGGAATACCTGCAGTTGTTGAACTGTTGGACTATGGGTAAAATTAAATGTGTAAATTTAAAAAAGACACCGTTTTATTTAGCTTAAATGTGACCAGGAGATTCCAACAATGACGAACAACCCATTAAACATTTTTGTCTGGTAAATGGTTTGTCCTTTGGTCCATAGTAAGTGCTGTACCGTCTTATTCTGCATTTTGTTCTTCCCAATAAACAATTATGAAATGTGTAGCTTAACTGTGTGCAGTGATACTGAAAGAATGCATTTTCTTAAAGTATTATGACCGACCAAACATTGTATGTTGGTGAGATTGTCCTGTTATAGCATGTTAATGTTGAGGGGAACTAATGTTGATGGTATCAGTTTCAGGTCGGTGCCTCAACAGACACGTCACCCATGTCAGAATGAGCGAAAACAAGGCAAAAGCGCTGCAAAGACTTAAACAGACAGCACCCAATGGCGAGCTGGTGTCGTTGTGGTTCTGGACCAGGATGAGGCCCACTAACAACAGCGCCAGCGTGCACAGGGCGGAGAGGACGGCGCACACGCACCCCGTCGTGAATGCAACTCGTTTGCAGGTCTGAGGACAGCACCTGTGGTCTATGTCCACTTCTGACCTGCACACAGAGTCGCCTGCACCTGCCTGACCATCCTGCGTGGGTTCCGAGTCCACGCAGTCCTGCTTTTCCAGCGGGAGAGTCTCAGTGAGTGTGGTGTTGTCTGGAAGGTTTTGAACCCGATATCCCGGAACCGGAGTTCGGTGGCGACACACAGGGCAACCGATTCTCCAGCCATGACCTTCCCGAGAGTGAAGAGTTGTGAGACACTGCTGACAGAAGGTGTGCGAGCAGACCAGCTCTTTGGGAATGTGTTGATCTAGGTCGAAGGAATTGTAGCATATTTTGCACTCGTAAACGTCGTCCGGAAATGACAGTGTCCTGTCAGGTGGAGCAGAGCCGCAGTCGTCCTGCGTGTCGATATGCTTCTCCATGTTCTATGTACATAATACTCCACAAACAACACCCCGTAAACGACTACATCTACGGTTAAAGACCGATTGCACTGTCATGTAAATATAAATAAGATGATTTTAACGCAGGATCGATTGCTTTCTGTGTCCGTCCCATGTCCGCCTCGTAGCTCCATCACAGCCGTGATGTGAAACCGCCTGAAGCAAAACCCGTGGACATCACGATCGTATTACCAGAACAGAATGTCGTTTGCCTGAAAAAAGACAAAAAAAAAAAAAAAAAATTTGTGGACTTCGTGTACAAATTGATTTTCCAATTTGG